TGTTATCACTTACTATTAAGGGACTAGTCAGATTATACTGTTAACTCATTTAACAGCATTTTTAAAACTTAAATGAATCATTACCTTCTTCAGAGATGGCTCTAATCATAAGTTTATTTCTTTGACCATGATGAACCTAATGCCCATAATAAGGGGAAAAGAGTTATCATCACACCCAGGGACAAATTCGTGGAGTTAAGTGACTTTTTAAATTTTAAACTCTTGAAATAAATACAAAAAAAACTGGTAAGTACCCCTTTTTGAAATACTGAACTATCAACCCTGTCCTATATGATATGTAAAATAATTTTTGAATAAACACACATTTGTGTATGTGTACATACTTATTCTCTACTAAATTAGTGCATCTAAAAGTAGTAACTCTACTACTGATTGTTGGAAGGGAAAGCTTTAGCATTTTGAACTCAGTCCCACTTGTTTGGATTTGAAGGTGCTTGGAGTGATAAATCCAGGACTTAAGAGGGACATGCAGATGGTAGGCTTTCAAATTCAGTCATAGGAGTACAGAGAATTGAAAAGAGATCTGCTTTTCTGCTTGTGTTGGCAGGGGTTCAGCTGGACTGTATAGGAGGAGGTGCCCTTTGTATCTCCTTGTCTATCCTGCACACAGATAATCGCTTCTGTTCATCTAAAAGTAAAGGACAGATGGATTTGTTATAGCAATATTTTCATTCTTGGTGGAGAATTATGCACTTGTACTTTCAGGAACTTAAACTATGTAAGAGTTTTCATCTATGAAAGCTTATATTCAGCATAACAAGTAATAGAAACTCATAAGCAATGACTAACTCAAATGATTAGGTTAAGGTATGTGTTCATAAAATGATATGTTTATCCCTGAGGAAATGACTGTGTTATCACTATACTTCGAAATGAATTGAATAAATATACTAGTTATAGTGATAGCATATTATAGGCAAGCATACCAAAACTCATAAAAAAATTTTAACATTACTAACAACACATTAAAATAACACATTGTCATGTAATAATACAATCTGAATGTCCAACCCAGTCCTCTCCTCTGTAACTTGGGATTGATCTTGTCATCTTCTTAATATTTCCAAATTACTTTATATTAATATGCTTAAAATAACCCCATCTACCCTACTGACATTCCCTTTAGGTCATCTAGAAGTAGAAATTTTTAATTCTCTTAAGAACCAGCCAGGAGACCACTTTGTATTCAGGAAAGATGAGGCAGCTACTTTTCTGGGAATAAATTATAATAGAACACAGATGTTCTGATTTTATTTGGTTTGGTTTGGTTTGGTTGTGATTGCACCTCTGGTTGTTTCTTAGAAAGTTCTTGAAGTTTTAAAAGGTTTTTAAACTCTCTACCTAAGAGTTTCAAATCACTGAAGAATCAGTTGAGGTTTTTGTTTTCCTTTTTTTTTTTTTTTTTTTAAACATGTATTCTTGTTATTCACCGCCGACTTATGAGTGAGAACTTGTGGTGTTTGGTTCTCTGTTCCTGTGTTAGTTTGCTGAGAATGATAGTTTCCAGCTTCATCCATGCCTCTGTAAAGAATATGAACTAATTGTTTTTCATGGCTGATAGTATTCCATGGTTTATATGTGCCACATTTTCTTTATCCAGTCTATTAATGATGGACATTTGGGTTGGTTCAAGTCTTTGCTATTGTGAACAGTGCTGGAATAAACATACATGTGCATGTGTCTTTATAGTAGAATGATTTTATAATCCTTTGGGTATATACCCAGTAATGGGACTGCTGGGTCAAATGGTATTTCTGGTTCTGGATCCTTGAGGAATCGCCACAATGTCTTCCACAATGGTTGAACTAATTTACATGCCCACCAACAGTGTAAAAGCATTCCTATTTCTCCACATCCTCTCCAGCATCTGTTGTTTCTTGACATTTTAATGATTGCCATTCTAACTGGTGTGAGATGGTATCTCATTGTGGTTTTGATTTGCATTTCTCTAATGACTAGTGATGAGCTATTTTTCATAACTTTGTGGGTCACATAAATGTCTAATTTTGAGAAGTGTCTGTTCATATACTTCATCCAGTTTTCGATAGGATTGTTTGTTTTTTGTTTTTCTTGTAAATTTGTTTAAGTTCTTTGTAGATTCTGGATATTACCCCTTTGTCAGGTGGATAGAGTGCAAAATTTTTCTTCATTGTGTAGGTTGCCTGCTCACTTTGATAATAGTTTCTTTTGCTGTGCATAAGCTCTTTAGTTTAATTAAATCCCATTTGTCTATTTTGGCTTTTGTTGCCATTGTTTTTGGTGTTTTAGTCATGAAGTCTTTGCCCATGCCTATGTCTTGAATGGTACTGCCTAGGTTTTCTTCTAGGATTTTGATGGTTATAAGTCTTATGTTTAAGTCTTTAATCCATCTGTTGTTAACTTTTGTTTAAGGTGTAAGGAAGAGGTCCAATTTCAGTTTTCTGCATATGGCTAGCCAGTTTTCCCAACACCATTTATTAAATAGGGAATCCTTTCCCTATTGCTTGTTTTTGTCAGGTTTGTCAAAGATCAGATGGTTGTAGATGTGCAGGGTTATTTCTGAGGCCCCTGTTATGTTCCATTGGTCTATATCTCTGTTTTGGTACCAGTACCAGCTATTTTGGTTACTGTAGACTTGTAGTATAGTTTGAAGTCAGGTAATGTGATGCCTCCAGCTTTGTTCTTTTTGCTTAGGATTGTCTTGGGTGTGCAGGCTTCACTTTTAAGTCTAGTTCTCTTTTAATTTCTACCACATCTGCAGTTAGTTACTTCACTGATGTCTTAAACCTCTGAAAGTAATCCATAAGTGTTGGAATAAACTTATTCCAAACTTTTGTTAATGTTGGTATTTTGGAATCTTGTCATGAATCATTAATTTTCTTAATGACATCTAGAATGGTGAATCCTTTCCAGAATATTTTCAGGTTACTTAGTTCAGATTTATCAGAGAAATTTCTGTCTCTGGCAGCTATAGTTTATAAAGTGTATTTCTATAGTTTACTATAGTTTACAAAGTATACAGCCTGAAAGTCAAAAGTACTCTTTTATCTATGGGCTACAGAATCGATGTTATATAAATAGGCATGAAAACAACATTCATTTCTTTATACATCTACATCAGTGCTTTAGGTGAGTAGGTGCATTGTCAAGCAGCATTAATATTTTGAAAGGAATCTTTTTTCTCAGCGATAGATCTTAATCATAGGCTTAAAATTTTCAGCTAACAATGCTGTAAACTAATGTACTATCATCTACGATTTATTGTTCCATATATAAAACAGTAAACTTTGCCTAATCCTTAAGGCCCCTAGGATCTTTGAATAAATGAACATTGGCTTTAACTTCTAGACACCGGCTTCATTAACCTCTAAAAAGAGAGTTTGCTTCTCTTTTGAAGCTTTGAAGTGAAGTATCGACTTCTCTTCTCTACCTATGAAAATTCTAGATGGCATCTTCTAATAGAAGCCTTTTTTTTTTTTTTTTTCTTTCAAAAAAATTTTTTTTTTTTTTGTTTTTTTTTTTTTTTTTTTTTTGAGATGGAATTTCACTCTTGTTGCCCAGGCTGGAGTGTAATGGCATGATATTGACACACTGCAACCTCTGCCTCCTGGCTTCAAGCAATTCCCCTGCCTCAGCCTCCAGAATAGTTAGGATTACAGGTATGCACAACTGTACCCAGATAATTTTTGTACTTTTAGTAGAGACAGGGTTTCGCCATGTTGGCCAAGCTGGTCTCAAACTCCTGACCTCAGGTGATTCAACTGCCTCGGTCTCCCAAAGTGCTGGGATTACAGGCATGGGCCATCACACCTGGCCTGTTTTGTATAAATTTAAGGGATATAAGTGTAATTTTGTTACATGGCTATATTGTGTAGTTGTGAAGTCTGGGTGTTTAGTGTATCCATTATCCAAATAATGCACATTGTACCCATTAGGTAATTATCATCCGCCTCCCTCCCAACCCCTACTCTTCTTAGTTTCTGAGTCTATCATTCCACACATTATGCCCACATATATAGATTAGTTTTCACTTATAAGTAAGAACATATGACATTTTTTTTCTTCTGCTTCTGACTTGTTTCATTTAAGATAATGGCCTCAAGTTCCATCCATGTTGCTTCAAAGACATGATTTTGTTTTATGGCCAAATACTATTCTTTTGTGTACATATACATTGTCTCTATCCAGTCATCCTCTGATGGGCACTTAGGTTGAATCCAAATCTTTGCTGTTATGAATAGTGCTGCAATAAACATGAGTGCAGTTATCTTATTGGTAGATATAACTATTTCTTTTCCTTTGGGTAGATACCCAGTAGTGTAATTGCTAGATCAAACGGCAGCTCCATCTTTAGTTCTTTGATAAATCCCCATACTGTTTTCCATACAGGTTGTGCCAATTTGTATTTCATCAACAAGACACAATCCTTCCCCTTTCTCTGCCTCCTCAACCACATTTGTTACTTTTTGTCTTTTCAGTAATAGCCATTCAACTGATGTAAGATGACATCCCATTGTGGCATTAATTTAATTTCTCTGATGATTAGCAATGTTCAGCATTTTTATATCCTGGTTGGCTATTTGTATGAAACACAGCTATTGAAAGGAGAAATTTGAAAATGTTCTATTTTCAATAGATTTTTTTTATACAAATAGCCAACAAACGTATAAAAAATATGCAGCTTTTGAAAAATATCTATTAGTATCTTCTGGCCACTTTTTAATAGGGTTGTTTGTTGTGAGTTGCATTCCTTATAAATTATTGATATTAGTCCCCTGTCAAATGCATAGTTTACAAACATCCTCTCCCATTCTGTAGGCTGTCTGTTGACTCCGTTGATTGGTTCTTATGCTGTGCAGAAGCTTCTAAGTTTAATCAAGTACTACCTGACTATCTTTGTTTTTGTTGTTTTTGCTTTTGAGATACTAGTCATGAATTTTCCACCCAGACAAATGTCAAGAAGAGTCTTTCCTAGGCTTACCTCTAGTATCTTTATAGCTAAAAATATAAAATGCTTCATGAATTTGCATGACATCATTTAGCAGGGGCTATGTTAATTTCTTATGCATCATTCTGGTTTCAGTGTGCATGCTGCTGAATTCAACATGAAATCTGTTGTTTACTGTAAGTACTTTCATTAATAATTTGATTTGGATTTTCTAGATAATGTGCTACAGCTTCTAAATCAGCACTTGCAGTTTCATCTCGCACTTTTATGTTGTGAAGATGTCTTCCTTCCTTAAATCCCAAGAACCAACGTCTGCTAGTTTCCAACTTTTCTTCTCCAGCTTCCTCACCCCTCTCAGCCTTCACAGAATTGAAGAAACTTAGGGTCTCACTCTGGATTCAGGTTTAGTTTAAGGGAATATTGTGGCTGGTTTGATCTACCCACGCTAAGCAAACTTTCTTAATATCAGCAATAAGATTATTTCACTTCATCATTCCTGTGTTCACCGAAGTAGCACTTTTAATTTCCTTTAAGAACGTTTCCTTTGTACTCACAACTTTGCTAACTTGTACTCACAAGTCTAGTATAAGAGGCTTAGCTTTCAGCCTGTCTCAGTTTTTGGCATGCCTTCCTCACTAAGCTTATTTATTTCTAGCTTTTGATTTAAATTGAGAGGTGTGCAAATTTTCATTTCGGTTAAATACTTAGAGGCCATCGTAAGGTCATTTTTTTTTTTCTTTCCAACTTTTATTTTAGGCTCAGTGGGTCCATGTGCATGCAGGTTTGTTACATAAACAAATTGCATGTTGTGCGAGTTTGATGTACAGCTTATATCATCGCCCAGGTAGTAAGCATAATACTTGATAGGTAGCTTTTCAATCCTCATTCTCTTCCTACCCTCCAGCCTTAAGTAAACTCTGGTGTCTATTTTTCCTTTGTGTCATGTGAACTCAGTTTTTAGCTCACATTTATAAGTGAGAACATGTGGTTTTCTGCTGCTGTATAAGTTTTCTTAGAAAAATACCCTTCATTTCCATCCATGTTGCAGCAACGTGTAGGGTTATTAATTGGTCTAATTTCAAAATTATTGTGTCTCAGGGACTAAGGAGGACTGGGGATATGAAGAGAGATGATAGACTGGCCAGTCAGTGGAGTAGTCAAAACACACACAACATTTATTAAGTTTGCTGTCTTATATGGGAGCAGTTTGTGGTGCACCAAAACAATTACAATAGTAACACTGAAGATCACTGATTACAGATCTTCATCACAGATATAACAATAATGAAACTGTTTGAAATACTGTGAGAATTAACAAAATATGTTACAGGGACAGGAAATGAGTACATAATGTTGGAAAAATAGTGCTGATCGGCTTGCTCCACACAGGGTCACCACAAATCTTCAATTTGTAAAAAAAAACCCACAAAACCAAAAAGACCCATAATATTTACAAAGTGTAATAAAGCAAAGCACAATAAAATGAGATATGCCTATATAAAATGGTGCATTATTTGCATGTAACTTATGTACATCCTGTTGTATAATTTGTGATCTCCAGATTACTTATAATACTTAATATAAAGTAAATGCCATGTAAATAGTGAATATACTGTATTGTATTGTTTCTACTTATATTGCCTTTATTGCTTTATTATTATTTTTAGTTTTGGCAAATATTTTTGCTATGTGGTTGATTGAATCCACAGATGCAGAAGCAGTGGATATGGAAAGTGGTCTGTATATGCTGTGAGATAAGGCTCCAATTTTATTCTGTATGGGGACATCCATTTTTCCCAGAACCATTCATTGAAGAGACTGTCCTTTTCTCATTGTGTGTTGTTGGTAAAAAGAAAACAGATTGTAAATGCATAGGTTTATTTGTGGGCTTTCTACTCTCTTCCAATGGTTGATTTGACTTTTTACACCAGTATCACACTGTTTTGATTACAATTAGCTTTATAATATACTTTGAAATCAGAAAGTGGGATACTTCTAGCTTAGTTCCTTTGCCTTAAGACGTGTTTTGCTATTTGGTGTATTTTTTGTTTCCTCTTTTTCAGATCCATACAAATATTAGGATTTCTTTTCTATTTCTGTGAAAAATAACATGAAGTTTTGATAGAAATTGAATTAAATATGTACAGCACTTTGGGCAGTATGGGCATTTTAACTATATTACTTTTCTAATCAAGGAATATGGAGTATCTTTTCATTTGTTGGTGTCATCTTCAATTGTTCATCAGTAATTTATATTTTTCAGTGCACAGACCTCTCACTTGTTTGGTTAAATTTTCTTCCTAAAGTTTTATTTATTTATTATATTTATTTTGATGCAATTGTGAATGGAATTTTTTTTCTTCTTTTTTGGATACTTTGTTGATAGTATATGTGAATACTACTGATTTTTGTGTATGCTGATTTTGTAGCATGAAGCTTCATTGAATTTATCAGAAAATTTAACAGGTTTTTGATAATGTTTTTAATACATAAGATATGTCATTATCAAACAGAGATAATTTTATTTCTTCCTTTCTGATTTGCATGGCTTTTATTTTTTTATCTTGCCTAATTGCTCTGGCCAGGCATTCTATTACTAGGTTGAATAGATGGTGCTGGAGTAGGCATCCTTATTTTGTTCCTGACCTTAAAGGAAAAGCTTTCAAGCTTCTAGTGAACATAATCTTTGTCTAGATAAAGGTTATCAATTTCACTTACCTTTTCAAAAACCCAGCTTTTAGCTTTATCTTTTCTATTGTTTTTCTTGTCTCTATATAGCAGATTTCTGCTCTGATATTTGCTATTTCCTTTCTTCTGTGAAATTTGGACAAACTATAGTTTTCTAGTTATTTGAGATGTAACATTATGGTGTTCATTTGAGATCTTTTCTCTTTTTTGATAAAGGCATTTGTTGCTATTAACTCCCTCTCAAGACCGCTTTTGCTGATTCCATAAGTTTTGGTATATTTTATTTCCATTTTCATTTGTGTCAAGATTTTTGGGGTTGTTTTTGAAACAGTTACCCTGCTGTCCAGGCTGGAGGGCAGTGGTGCAATCTCAGCTCACTGCAACCTCCACTTCCTGGGTTCAAGTGATTTTCATGACTTAGCCACCAATGTAGCTGGGATTACAGACATGTGCCACCACACCCAGCTAAGTTTTTAAAAATTATTTTTCTGTATTTTTAGCAAAGAGAGGGTTTCGCCATGTTGGCCAGACTGATCCTGAATCCTGGCCTCAAGTGATTGACCTGCCTGGGACTCCCAAAGTGCTGGGATTACAGGCATGATCTGTGCACAGTGCTTGGCTTGTTCAAGAACATATTGTTTAATTTTCACTTACTTGTAAGTTTTCCAAGATTCCTTCTATTATTTATTTCTAGTTTTAAGCCATTGTGATCAGAAAAGATATTCAAGAGAATTTCAGTTTATTAAATTTGTTAAGAATTATTTTGTGGCCTAACATATCTCCTCTGGAGAACATTCTGTATGCAGTTGAAAAGGATGTATAAATCGAAGACGCAAGATGGCAGAATACAAGGTGCCAACAATCATCCTTCCTGCAAGGATATCCATTTAACAACTATCTAAACAGAAAAATCAGCTTCATAAGAATCAAAAACCAGGTGAGAACTCATAGTACCTGTTGGTAACTTTATATCACTGAAAGAGGCATTAAAGTGGTAGTAAAAGCAGTTGTAAATCACTGACACCACCCCTCCTCCCCCCAGAAGCAGAGGCAGGGTGTAGAGAGCATATCTGGTCACTAGGGGAGGGAGAACACAGCAAATATAAGGCATTGAACTCACTGCTGTCCTATTAGAGCATATCAGCTGATGCCTGCCCATGGAGGAAGGATTTAGACCAGCCCTAACCAGAGGGGATTTGCTGATCCAGTGGTACAAACTTGAATTCTCAAGAACTGCAACTCTTAGGCAGGTCCTAGTGCTGAACTATCTAATGAGGGATTGCAGACATTTATCATGGGAACAAACCAAGGAAGAGAGGATGACAGGGCAGGGCAGGGCAGAGAGGGTGTGCTCTCCCTCCATTCTTGCTGGCAGTGGCCTCCAACCTCTTACCATGGAGATTGTAGAGCTAAGATATCACTGGCACAAGCAACAGAAGAAGGTGTGGGCAGTGCAATACCATCCTGCCATTTAGGCTCCAAGAGGTTTGTTCTTACTTGCTATACAGGTTCTCAGATACTGGCTTGTTAGAGGCTAAAACCACAGGATGCTATTGGAAAAGCATGTGATCACACCCCTTCCGTGAGGAAGGTGAATGCTGGGCTCATCTCAGGGGACTAAAACAGCTAATGGTGCTCACATGGTTCAGACACTCACTTTGTTCCTTGTGCTTGAGGTAAAACCTCTAAAGACTGTACTTGCTTAAGGCAAGTAGATATTTTTAGTAAGTCATAAGAAATGTCCATTAGATGCAAACCATTGCTGCCTAAAAGACTTAAGCATGTGAATGCTGTTACTTAGAGGAGATACTTCTGAAGTTATTGCTTCAGGAATAATACACTAAAAATCAGTGTAGTTAAAATTTTTTAAATCTCCAGTTTGTAGTAATTTCATGTGTGTATAAACCATTTTATGTTCAGAAATAGAAATGGAAGTACATTATTGTCATAGATATTCTTCCAGTGTCAGCATTCCATCTCCATTGTGCTGCTTATCAGTTTTGTGCTGTATCTTCGGAATGAAGGTAAAATGTGCAGCACCCTCACACCACCACACACCGTGACATTCACTTATAACTGAGTAACAGCAAGAAAATATGAAAATTAATTTCTTAAGAATATGTTTCTGCTTAAAACCAATTTAACCTTATCAAGAAATCTTAGTTTCTAAACAAAGAAGCAAAAATTCAATTAAGAACAGAGGCCTAACATGTGAATACCATTTACATGATTAAGCAGTGATAACACACTGTTCTGCATTTAATTCCCACACACAGTATTGAACCAAATGTGAAACTGATACTTTGGAGACATTAAATATCCATAGCTTTGAAATGTGCTGCCATTTAATTACTACCAAAGCCATGTGCCTCAGAGCTTTCTGTTCATCGTTTCTATAAGGCTCTTAATATGGTGCTGTGACAAGAACATGAAAGTTATACAAAACTGTGAAAAGGACAATAATTAAAAAT